TCTCTGTATTTCCGCGGAACGAGCATTACGACGACCAAAGTCATCGGTTAACGCTAAATAATTAGCAAATACTAATTTCTATTCGTCGACTGGTTTTAACTGGCTCGTACTACGGTTATTATATTTCATCGATTATGCGTTAGGTAAACGTTTGAATATTTTTCTGAAAATAACCATGACAAAATCAATGTATTATTATTAGAAAAATTTATACATTTTTTGAATTTTAGTTATTTACCAAGTTTACTCTTTTTTTTTTCATAAAAAATTCGCATCGTAAGTATTTTTTATAAATATTTTTCTAATTACAATATAATAAAAAGAAGCATAAATAAGTAAATTTGATTCATTCATTTTTATTTTGAATTCGTAATTTATTTATATTCTATGTTAAAGAAGATAATATTTTATACATGTGTATTGTATCGTTCAAAAAATTAATTTAATTATTCTAGTTTACTTGTAAATAAAAAATTATTTAACAAAATGATTGCATAATACCAAAGAATAAAATATATGAATAAATAAATGTGCCTATAATTATAAAAGTGGTCTCAGTCACAATATATAAGAATAAATTAAAATTAAATTATAATTATAATAATAAAAAAAATATAATAATAATACAATAATAAAATATAATTATTATATTATTATATTTATTATAATATAAATTAAATTTTTAATTGTATCTTTTATTCTTTATTATATATGTAGGAGAGTTTTAAAATGTCGAAGATGTAGACGAAAAAGTAGTATTCAGTTCTTTTCTTTATATTTTATTTTCTGGAAAGGAAAACTCTATTCAGAGACTAAAAGAAAAGATTAGGAAGGCCATAAAACCATAAACAAACCTAAGAATTATCGAGATATATTGGTGCGATGAAAACCCTTTGTGCAGTATCGGGACCTTTGAGGAGTTTCAGATTCCTATCTAAGCACGTACGATACCATAAAAGAAGTAACATTCCGATATTCTAGATCAAGTTTCTTTATGCATAATTTTCACTACCAAAAACCATAGGCTGTACCCGTCGGTTGACAATGGGGTGGATCCTTATGCTATTGGTCAATAAGATTCGTAATCTCCTTCCCTTTCCAAAGGGGTGTAGGTCATTTCTAATATAAAATATGTGCAAAGAAATAAGAAAGTAGCCTTAGTTAGTCATCAGTCGTAACAGTCGCAGTTGTATTATAAGTCGTTATCAGTTTTAAGAACACAGTCGCTTATCTAAGTTGTAATCGTAAGATTGTGAAACTATTATTGTAGTTCTTCTAATACTTGTTTTAAATATATCTTATTAGTAGGATTAAACTGGGTGTATGTTCACCTCGCACCTCTCACCCTAAATAAAATTCCCTACATATATATTATTATATTTATTAATTATAATTATATATTAAATTTTTATAAATATTAAATTATTTGTTTTTTATTTTTAATAATTCTAAGTGAATTCTATATAATATTGAAATAACAAATATTATCTGACGAATTCATTTTGGACAATATCGTGAAAATTATATTGAATTAGTTAAGTTTAAAATAACGTGACGTAAACTAACTGATAAACTCATATTTTTTTTTATAATTTTGATGTAAACCACTTTCATAATTATGGGTACAAATGTAAAGAAGTATTTGAAACTAATTATACAAAATTCAAATCAATGTCAAAACAAGAGTGTATGATAAACAAAAAAGATATTCGACGATTTGCGAATAATTCATGAAAATGTTTATAAAAAAAAAAAACACACCAAGACTGTAAGAGAAAACGTTAAAGTCGGATATACGCAGCGATAGGCTCGAATCGCATTCCGAGAAATGGAGAACGCGCTTAGCCGGTCCTTGCTTGCGTGTGCCGTGTGGTAACGATTATGTCGGATGCTCACAGGAGAAAAGCCGTGTTTACACGCTCTCGTACGAACGAGATGTTGCTTGCTAAAGCGAAACAAGTCAGGACATGAGTCTTAAACAACACGCCCGTCGACTTACGTGCATATTCGCGTTTTCCTTTTACACTTCCCTTTAGGCTATTATTTTGAAAGTATATTATGAATTACGAGGTACCCCAATTATATCTGTTCTTATCCTTTAACGTATTAATCTATTTTCAATCTAGAAAATGAAATTCGTTTATATACAATCAAATAGTTTATCACTTATTTTTTAATTTATTAAATAAAATATATTAGTAAAAATTACAAGTAATTCGCTAATAAAAAAATAGTGTCCCTTCAAATCTTTTTAACATATTTGGAAATTAAAAATGGTCATATTGGAAGTAACTTTTGTTAAATGTACTCGTTTCATTCCACCGTTAACTTCTTCAACGAAGATGACTTTATATACTTGGTCAGAAAGCATGTAGAAAACGACTAGTATATGTAATAAATACGTAAGAGAGAAAGACAAGATGACTCACGACTGCTTAACGCGCTTTATAATTTATTATCTTGAATGCATCGTGTCGTACCTAGTGATCTATCGCAAGATCGTCTATTGTGATAAAAACAGATTAAAGAAAAAAATGATTGATCGTTCCGGATTAGTTAAAGGTGCTGTTACGATCCACAAGACAATTATTGCTTCTTTAATCACATGTCTCGATTTCGTTTGTTTTATTTTATTTTCTTGTTCATTTTTTTTTATTTGCATTACGTTTCATTAAACAGGTCAAAGAATAATACTTTTGTGTAAGTGCACAAAGTATTATTTTTTCTTACCTCTATAAGGTAGCATAAGCAAAGTATATACGTATGTACGTATATATATCTTCCAGAGATTATGATAGTTATAACATGAATGAAAATATTATTTGAATTCTTTCGAAACTTCCATGGAAAAAGATATATACCATGTTATCATATTACATCGTACGATGTTATTTTCTTACAACAGAATTTTTCTTTTGTTATACATGATTGAAAGAATAAATAGTAGGGGACTCATGTAAAGTATTTTTGTATTATTAGTAAATAAAAAAAAGAACAGTTTTTTTTTTAAACTAATATTTATTATAAAGAAAAATTCAATAGATTATAGAAATAAAAGGAAATCCTAATTTATATCTTCTTTTTTTTAAATACGTAAGAGGTCCAATAATTCTTTGAGAGTTTTATTACCAATAACAAGATTTAATCTTTTCTCTGCAACTTCACTCATTATTACACCCGCTTGCGTTGGATATTTTCTAATAACTTCTGGTCCTTTTTCAGATATCTTTTTACTTACTTCCTCCGAACGTTTTTCGTCATTATAAAGTCCGGTTGCATTGACCTAAAAAAAAAAAAAAGAAAAGAAAATATCAATCATCGGTATAAAAGAACATATCTGCCGGTAAATGACCAACTAATGTTATATCTTAAAAATAAATTTTCTAAACGTCAAATTTTGAAATACTATAGTTTCATTTATAAATAACATTCTTCATAGTAACAAAATAAATTGATAAAAACATACGTAAAGAGAATCCAAATCAAGTGTTGATGCAATACTCGCTATATATAACTTGTTATTTTTCAATCCCATACGACATTTGCAAGTAACATCCAAACCTTTAAGTATTCCTCTAAAAAAAATTTATTAGAAATAAAAAATTAACTTAATAAATTTAAACAAATATTTAAATATATGATTAAATATATTGTCAGCAAACGATATTTAGTTAAAAGTTGTTGAGATACCAACAGAAGAGAATTTACTTATCTTATAATTTTCTACATTATCGTTGGTAAATATATTCGAAACGATTGATAAATACTCACAACAATTTTCCTTTTCCATAAACCGGATATTTATCAGCTGCTATTCCATCAACATCGTATTCTGATTTTACAACGATTTTTTCCCAATGGAAACCTACAGTTACACTTAATCCTACTAGGTGAAATTTACCTTCTTTGACCTCGTAATCAGATAGACCAGTCATGTGAAGATTTTTTAAATTAAGGTCAGCTCTTAAAAGATAGAAAATTGCACATCCAGTTTAAACTATAATTTTTGAAAAAATCTCATAATGTTTTTTAAATAAACGAAAATGAATACTTACGAAACATATGATAAAACAATGTGGTAGAATTCCTCTTTAACGTCATGTGGATCCAAGACAGGTATTTTGAGAGACTCATTTCCAGTTCTCATTACTGTTTTAAATCTTTCCAAAAAAGGTTTTAGGTCAGTAATATCATACTTTTCTTCTTGTTCGTATGTGTAAACAGAAGAAATAATCAAAATCACTGCGAATATTACGGCCGAACGAATCATGTTTCTAAAACAATTATAATTATATTTATTAGATATTTGAGTAATTTACGTTGTTATTATATATTACGTAGATCTAATTAGTATATATACTTATTCACATTGCTTGGAATAATTGCTTAACTTAATGATCTATAATAATATATTCATTGAAAATACGCACAAATATTCTGAATTAAATGTGAATACCAATTTATACTTACAGTTTTACGATGCACCACTTAACACCAATTGAGAATTATTGATATAAATGTTTATGATGACCGATTTTATAAATTACTTAATATCATCATAAGATATCATAAGTCTAAAGGTAACAATTTTTTATCAGATTTGCTTTATCGATTGTTAATTATGACTTTATCGGAATTATAACTTTAACATCACATATGTGTACAAATGCTTTTATTAAAATAAACATGACAGATTCTTTTGTAAATTATTTAAAAAAACAATAGTTTATATTCATAATTTTGTAAGTCTTCTTTTATTCAAATTGTAAAATCACAAGTTGAGCTTTTAAGATAAGTTAATTACATAAAAAAAGGATTGGAAAAGTCTCAAACAAGAGACGAATTTATTTAAAAACATTTATCAGTTCAGTTACTTTTTTTTAGTCTCGATGGAAACTAGTTAAAAAAATATAATTATGCTATGGTAAAAGTAAAAATTTATTGTATGTTTTTATTATATAATAAACAAATGAAGATAAGGAAGCGAATGATAGCTATGACTAATAAATTATTGGTTCATTTTCGCTTGGTGAAATAATTGATATTAAATCCCAAAGAGTTTTGCCTTTTAGTAACTTATTGATTGTATTTGTAGCTAAAGTGTTAAATTTTCCAGTTAATTCTTGTTGATAATCATCTATCAATTGTGGTATCATATCCGACAGGATGGTGCTTACGATCTTTGAAACAGGTTCATCGTGAAATAATCCAGTTATTTTGATCTAAAAATATTATTTGAATGTGTTATTATCGTCGTTAGATCAGAACGTATTAATTAATGATCTAATAAATAAATATACTTACGTCGAGTGCTTTAAGTTTGATACCTGATTCGAAACTTCTTACAAATAAATCGCCATTATCTTTTATTGACAAGCCCATTGTAACATTTAGTTCTAAACCTTGTGCGGTTGCACTATTGGGAAAGATAGACAAAAGATGAAAAATTATTATATTTCAGATTTTTATTTTGTTTTAGTTTATAACAAAAAGTGTATAGTACAGATGACCCTCCTACAACACGGTTTCGTTATAACACAATTCATAAATTGCAGGAACACTCCCACAACAGGGCATCCTATAACACATAAGAACCTATCTACCGTGTTACAGGAAGATTACTTGTAGTCCCAAATTCATTCAAAAATCAAAAAGTAATTTCCCTTATAATACTTACTCGATTTCGCCTAATCCATAAATTGATAACATGTCTCCTAAATTTCCTATTATGCTGTAATCTGTAACCAATTTGATTGAGTCCCATTTTAAATGTAGATTAATTTTAAGTCCGATTATAGTGTAATCTGCTTTGATTGCCACGAAATTGGACAAATTGTCTGCCTGCATGTTTCTTAGATATCCTTGAGCCCTTGAAATAAAACAAAAATTGTTTTATTCGTTATCGATGATCACTTAACTCTACTTAATATATCGCACAATATCAATTGTAAGATTTCATTTAAAAATATTGTATCATAATTTAAAAACCTACTCAAGAAAACCCTTTTCTCGAATTATATATTCAGTTTGACGGAGTTTGAAGGGATCTAAAACTGGAATTCCAAGAGCCGAGCTCCCATTTCTCATAATCTCCCGAAGTTTGTCCACCGGGATTTCGTCATATGTTTCTATATTAGATTCTTAGAAAATTGAATTAAAACAAAATTAATTTGAAAGATTAAAATATTTTTAAAATAATGAAAAATAATGTGGGTAATGTGTATAGTTTTTTTAAATATTTTGATTAACATACCCTGTGCATCAACTTTATATACAAAACCATGGCAGGATACGAAAATGGTCGCCAATATTATAAATACAGTTTTCATTTTCTGAAAAAAAGTACAATTTATTTATCATTCTAGATAAGTTTTTTTCATTTTATTGTTTTATCTTGTATAATAATATTTATTTATATTTTAGATCTTGACAAATTTCACTAGTTATATTTTAATTGCATTATTTGTTTTATCTTTTAATTTGGTAAATTAATATTTTAATTATTGCATATATTCTGAAAATAATATATTTTTTTATTCTTCCTTTTACGGAATCGAGTGATTACTATACGAACACTTTCTTATAATTACTAAGTGCTCCCAACGAGATATAACTTTTTTACCACTTCTTTGAAATCAATTTACAATTACTCGTAAATAAATTTAATATCAATTATCTATTTTTTATCTGTAAGATAGTAATTCCAAAATTGTTATCAAATATTTTCAAGTAGTAAATTGTCTCGATTTTGATTTAATTGTAAAATCGTGCACGCAATTCTTACTCGATCAACGATACCAAATATTTTAATCTAAAACATTCAAAAGAAATAAATAAATAAAAAAATAAAACCAAATAGTTACGAGTCTTTTTCGAGTCTACTATTCTCTTGTTAAAAATCTATTATTTTTTATATTTAATTAACGCTTTGTGTTAGAATATTTCGAGTTTTATTAGTTTACACTAAGGTATTGAAATTATTCGTATCAATTGTAATTAAAAGAAAAAATAAATTAAAAAAAAAATAACCAAAATTATAAAGAGATCAAAAATACACGATATCGCGCGCGATATCGTTAGAAATATAAATATATAAGCTTTTATCAAGATATCGTAATACGTATACTTTTTTATCGTCAAGTTATTGATAATAAATATGGCAACAAATAGTGTAAAAATTCTTGTTTTTAAATTGATTAATTAAATTCAAATAAATTTATTTTAAACAAATCTTTATTAAAAGATTGTCTGGACTTATTTTGTTCTTATCTTTAAATTTTATTAATAATTTTTTGGTTGGGAGTAATTTTTCTCAAAGTATAATATCTAATTACGTTGAAGAAATCTTTGATAATCGATAATATTGCAGATGTTAATTATTATCTATTAGTCTTTTTTTTTTTAGATGAATTTTTATAATCACCCATGGATAATCTTTATTATCATTTTAATTATGTAACGTATATATGTATGTATGTATGTATGTATGTATGTATGAATGTATGTAGAATACGTTTATTATTTGACAGAACTCTTGCTCGCATGACTTACGAGTAATATTATCTGTTTTAATGCACAAAGTGTTTTGTTTTGTATTCTTTATCTTCGTAATAATTTTTTAATTTGGTTTTCTTTTTTGGTTAATATTAATACTTACTGTTCACAAATGTAAGACACGTCAATCGGATCTCGTCTCGATGTCTCGACTATTAAAAAATATATTTTTGTCATATATATACGCATAGGCAGCCAATATCAATCATTTTTTGAACGAATCTCGTTATCTGATTGGTATTGTGATCGTTTATCGATGATAATACCTTTTTTCTTTTTCATTTTTTTTTTTTTTTGATGAAAGTTGCATACGTCAATGTAGGCACAAGTATATTTAATTATACGTTCGATCGAATATATTTATTTACTTTTTTGTTACATGCATATTTAGAATATTATACATTATTTATATTTTACCTAACAAACAATATTATTAATGTAATATGTTTGCATGAAAGAAAATTTGATTTTCGTAAATTAGTAATTTTTTAAGTTGTATTTCTTTTAGGTTTTCTTGGATTCGCTGGTAGGGTGGTTTGAGTGATTTAGACATTCTTAAATATAGGTTGTTTAATTTATTTAAGAATATGGCATTATGTAATGGATTTAAGGGTTTGGATGCTATTGGTAGTTAAATAGTTGAAGATAATATATTTTCTTTATTTCATTTATAGTGATAGTTTTTTTACTTTTTACCTCGGGCCTGATTTTAAATATATAAAGAATCTTCTATTTTAAGCATTGATGAACTTTCGTTTGAAAGGCAATAAAACGAAGAAACTATAGGTATACAACTGTACAGATAAAGATAGGAATGTGTCCAGCTGATAATAGATAAATAGAAGACAAATTCATCAAACGGTAGCTAACGAAAAATATCTTTCTTATATTTGGAACATATTTCAAACATTCTGTCATGTACAATGGGAAATCCAGTCTTCGTATAAATTTTACTTATCTACTCTCTTAAAGAAGTCTAGATATTTCAAATAGATTCAAAAGTTTCAACAATTTATAAAAGGATTATACTATTGAATGTTCTATCATATAAATTTTTCAGATTACGAGAATTATAATATGAATAACGTAATTATTCGAATTTTTTTAAAGTTTCTGCGAAAAAGGAAATACCATTTTTTATTATCTCGTACGATATTATTTTTTTTTCTAAGAAAATTGTTTATTGTTACATAGTCAAAAGAAGAAATAAGTGATTTATTGAAAATTTTTGTGCATTAGTAAATTAAAAGAACATTTTTAAATTCATGGTGTTACGATAAGACACAGACATTTTTTTCTATATCTTTATTATTTATTTTACTCGTTGAGATACATTCAGCAAAGAGTAAGAACAAGGCTTTTGAACCAATTCAAATTAAGGATTTCTATATACTAATATTTATTTATAAACAATAATTCTACAAATTGTAGAAAAAAATGGGATCCTGATTTGTATTTTTTTTTTCTTTTTAAATATTTAAGAGCTCCAATAATTCTTTAAGAGTTTTATTACCAATAACAAGGTTTAATTTTCTCTCTGCAATTTCGCTCAATAATTCTCCAGCTTCATTTGGATGTTTTCGAATAAATTCTGGTCCCATATTAGTTATTTTCCTACTAATTTCCTCCGAACGTTTTTCGTCATTGAAAATTCCAGTTGCTTTGACCTAAAAAAAAAAAAATAAAAAATAGCAATCATCGATGTAAAATAATGCTGGTAAATGATCAACTAATGATATAATTAATAAATAAATTTTCTAAACGTCAAACTCTTTGACATTCTATAATTTCATTTGTAAATAACATTATTCATCATATTTATATAAAGTAAATAAATAAAAACATACATTAAGAGATTCCAAAACAACTGTCGACCTAATGCTCGCTATATATGACTTGTTATTTTTAAATCCTAGTCGAATATTGGCAGAAAAATCTACGCCACCAAGTATTGATCTAAAAATTCATTAGAAATAAAGAATTAGGTTTAAATAATTAAAAAACGTTTTTTATTATACGATGGTTCATAATCAGTGAACGAAAGATCGTTAAAATACAAACTGTTGATAATCTGAATAATCATCAGTAAATCTAAAAAACGCTTGATAAATGACTTACGAGAAATTTCCTTTTCCATAAATCGGAATTTTATTGTTTACGAGTCCATTAATATCGTACTCTGTATTTACAACGAGTTGATCCCAATGAAAACCTAAAACAATATTGAATCCTGCTACGTGGAGTTTACCTTCTTGGACCTGATAATCTGATAGACCGGTCAAGTGAAGATTTTTTACACCAAAGTCAGCTCTAAAAAGATGACAAATCATATATATTCAGTTTAAATAATATATTTTCTAACAAAATTTTAGAAGAAATTTCATATAATATTTCTTAAATAAACAGAAATAGAGAGATACTTACTTAAGGAAAGATAAATCAAATTTATAATTGCTCTCTTGAACGTCATGTGGATCCAAGACAGGTACTTTGAGAGACTCACTTCCAGTTCTCATAACGTACCTAAATTTTTCCAAGAAAGGTTTTAAGTCACTGACAGCATATTTTTCTTCCTGTTCTTGTGCGTAAACAGAAGAAATAATAAAAATCACCACTAATATTATTGTCGAACGAATCATTTTTCTGAAACAATTATAATTACATTTATTAGATATTTGAATATATTAAATATTATTATATTATGTTATGTTGATCTAATTAATATGTATACTTATACACATTGTTTTGAATAATTGCTTAACTTAATAATCGATAATAATATATTCATTTAAATATGCGCAAATATTCGAAAATAAATTTAAGTATCGATTCATACTTACAATTTTATGATGTACCACTTAACAGTACTAGAGAACTATTGAGACAAATGTTCATGGTGACCGGTTTTATAAATTACTGATATCATAAGTCTAAAGGTAACAATTTTTTATCAGATTTTCGATTGTTAACTATGATTTTATCGAAATTATAACTTCAACATCGCATATGCGTACACACAAATACTTTTATCAAAATAAACATTGACAAGCTTTTTTCGTAGGTGATATAAAAATAATATTTTATATTTATATTTTTTAGGTGTTTTTTTTTATATTCAGATTGTAAAACTACAAATTGAGTTTGTAAAATAAGTTAATTGTATAAAAAAAAGTAGTAAATCTAAATACTAATTGATTTATAAACATCATTTAAAGACATTTGGTATACTATTTGTTTTTTTATTTTTCAATGAAATTTAGTTAAGAAAAATAATCGTGCCATAGTAAGTAGAAATTTGTTGAGGTTATTTATTTATAATAAACGAATGATGAAGATATAGGAGAAAATTATATAAAAATTTATTTTGTTTTTTTTGAAATTCTCAACTCGTACATAACATATTCAAATATTTTTTTGTTTTATCTTATAATATAAAGTTAAAAGTTTTCTAAATCCATCCATCAAAATGCATCGTTAGAGATAAGAAAAGAAACTATCTTGAAAATCTTATCGTTACCTCTTTATTTTGTTCTTTTTAGTTTAAATTAAAAATAATTTGTTGTTAAATTTAAACTTTCGTAATTCTTTATCTCGTTCTTTTTTTCTTGACACAAATTTGTTTCCAGATATAATACGTACAGATTGTTTGATAAGATCTTGGATAACAATGTATTTCATTGTTATTATTGTTGTATTGTATTTTTCCTATTGTACTCTATTTCATCTACTCCACACACCGATAAAAATTTTCTTCAATTTTCTGTCAAGCTTGATCAAATCCCATATTAAATGTAGATCTATTTTTACTCCAATTAGACTAAAGTCTACTTTGATTATCTTGAAAGTGGACAACTTGTCTACCTACAAGTTTTTCAGATAATATAATAATCAAACGTTTTAATTATGTATAATCTTTGGGCTTTATCATTCTCCTGAAAAACTTATAATATTGCATACTTATAATTAGGTAACACTTTGAGTTTTGGTCTTCGTATGTTTCGAGATCAAATAGTTAACAATAACAATAAGTATTGAAATTTATTGGTACCAATAATCGTTAAAAAAAAGAAGACAATGACTGAAATAATGAAAAAAAGAATTAGATAGCAGAAATGCATGATAACATTAGAAACTTAAAATATAGGTGTTTAACTTCAGTTAAACTATCATAATACTTATGTGTTCTTATCGTTGGCGTGTCATTGATAGTTAATGTAGCAACAATTAGTCTAAATTCTTGGTTTTAAATTAGTTAGCAAAATTAAAACAAATTCATTTTAAACAAATTGCTATCAATGGATTGTCTAATCTTATCCTGTTCTTATCTTTAGATTTTATTAACAATTTTTTTTTGGGGGGGGGGCCAATAATTTTCAAAAGATAATGTCGAATTCTGTTGTTGAAATCTCTGATAAACGATAATATTACAGATGTTTATTATTATCTATTTATTTTCTAGAGGAATTTTTATAATCTTCTATAAATGATTATTATTATCATTTTAATTATGTAATGTATCTATGTATGTAGATTACGTTCATAATTCCATATTCTTATTCGACTTACGAGTTATATTATCTATTTTATTACATAATATTACTTGTTATATTACACATGTTATATGATAGCAACGGTGTCCACATTGCTTTACTTAAGTAATTTGCTGGAATTTAGTAATCTAACGTTCCTAAGTCGTTAACTAATTTGTATTGATTATATAATAGTAAAAGTAACAAATTATGTATAATGATGATATGTATTTATTATTTAATTTATAATTATTTACAGGTAGCCTTCCTACTAACAAGCTAGTCCTCCTATAACACGGTTCATGAATTGCGGAAACCCTCCTACAATACGACATCCTATAACAAGGTTTCGCTCTAACACGATACAAAAAATTGCAAAAATCTTTGTACAAGCTAGGCTGTAGAAGTACAGTGTTGCGGAAAATATTACTTTTCATCTCCGTGGCCTGAAAACAAAAGTCACACACTGCTGGTCGGCAGTCTGCGTCAAGCCAAGGTGTGTTAAAGAATAACTTTTTCATCTTTAAGACATTAAGTTTCAGCCCCAAACCATGTACGATACAGAAAAAAAAACAACGTTTAAGAGGAAATTTATTTCTTTAGAAGTCAAGATACAAATCTTGGATCGTCTTTTGAAAGGAGAAAAAGCATCTCACATTGGAAAAAGCTCGAATTTGAATGAAGCAACAATCCGGACTATTAAAAAAAATGAAAAAGACATAAGAAGTGCAGTTGCTGCAGGATCTTTGACATCCGCAAAACGTGCAGCTCGCTCCCGGGCAACAATAATTGAGAAGATGAAAAAGGAACTCAGCATTTAGATTGATGATTGCTGTCAAAAAAGAATTCCATTGAATGGTAATATCATTAAACAAAAAGCACTCAAGATTTACAAACATCTTAAAGAACATGGAGAATCCTCTGTCAATCCAGATTTTGTGGCAAGTTAAGGTTGGTTCGAAAAATTCAAAAAGCGTTTTGCAATTTATAGCATAAAAATTCAAGGAGAATCTGCGTCGACTGATCGTGAAGCTGCTAGGACGTATCCAGACAAAATTCAAAAGATTATAGAAGAGGAAGGATACAGCAGATCAGGTTTTCGATGTCGATGAAACAGGGCTTTGGAGGAAAAAGATGTCCAGTAGAACGTTTATATCGAAAAAAAATATGACTATTGAGGACGTTCAAGGTTTATTAGTGGAAGAAAAAGTTGACGAAGCGGATTTGGAGGAAATGGCATTCGAAGCTGTAAATCAAATCGATCCTGAGAACACTAGCACTGATGAAGATTGTGCAGTTAATAATTTAACATTAAAAAAATTACAAGAAATCCTAAGTTTAGCTGAAAATCTCGAGTCATTTCTCTTGAATGCAAATCCTTCCAAAGAAAGGAGCCGAAAATTCAAAAGGGAGCATCAAAACTGTTTAGCACCATATCGAGAAATTTACAATGATCTGGTAAGAACCAGCAAGCAACGTAAAATTACAGATTTTTTAAAGAGGGAAGAGATGCAAGAACATTAAATGAAGAAAAAAGTTCTGAAAGTGAAGGCGATATCATTCCACCGAAAAAACATTCTCGGTTGAATTAATTGAGCAGTGACGACGAAGAAATAAATTAAATTAAAGTTATGTTAAATTAAGATAATATTTTTTGTTTTGTATTGTTCATACATTTATATTTTTAATAAAAATTAAGTTGTTTATGTAGAATTAAACAAAATTATTTGTTTTTAATAAATTTTCGGAATCGATTGTACAACAAACCGGACATTCGTAACGTCATAAAATCAGGCCGATTAAGATGGACCGGTCACGTGACGCATATGGGGGAGGATTAAATGGCGCGTAAAATATTGGTCGGTATACCGAACGGGAAAAGACCATTAGGTCCATCAATATTAAAGGAGATACAGGTATCGGTGACTTGTGAGGCACACACATTGCCACTATTGTAGAATACTACACTACTACAGCTAAAGGAATACACATCTATGTGAGATGTGAGAGTGTGATGAGTGAGAACACTTAAGCATGAGTGGGCCAGAGAGTATCGGGTATAATCAGGCAAAGGATAAACTATGTAATATAAACAGCCGAATAACGATAAAGAGAGCGTCGCCCAAGGAAGTAAATTAACCGTTTGAGTCCCAAGCAGCACGATCGCGCTGTTCACATTTTATGTTGAAAAAACCCAGTACATTTCGAGCATTGTAGACAACTGACGGTGCGCTCATATATATAAAACAAATGCATACAAGTAGCGCTATCGCGCTGCTTGGGTCTCTTACTCATTTAGAAAAAGCGCAGTTGCGCTGTTTGGGATTCCTCGACAGTGTTTTTTCAAAACCCCCTGGGAGTCAAACGGTTAAAGAAAAGAAAGTGAGAGGCAGTCATCGTTTAGTAGCCAACCAAAGAAGACGTACTATTATATCATTATTTTGTATCTTTATTTCATTTATATTAAATATATTGCATATCCGTGAAAAGAGATTTTCCTTCTATATCAATCTATTGACAACATCGCGGAAGACTGACAGAAGAAGGGGGTATATTCATAAGAAGGATGATATATTCTTTCACATTTATGTGAAATTTCAATTCGCGTTTATTCGCAAACGGCTGGGTATTTGCACCAAGTTTAAAAGCACAATGAATCTTTTCATGGACTGCTACAAGTGTGCCAAATTTAAAAAAAATCGGAAGTGTGACAATCGCAGCATCTCCTTGTCAGATTAAAAATTAAGTTTATTTACATTATAATCTTTTAATATAAATATAATCCTCGGTAGTATAGTGGTTAGTATCCCCGCCTGTCACGCGGGAGACCGGGGTTCGATTCCCCGCCGGGGAGATTTTTTTTTTTTATTTTCCAGATTGTTTGTTATTTTTATTTTTTATAATTACAATTATTAATATTCTATAATAATTATAATTTTATTCTGGTCTAATTGTAAGAATGGAAAGGTCTGTATATTTTTTGGTATTGTTTCTATATGTATATACAATATATTTATAAATGATACAAATAATGCATCCTAGTATATGTCAAAGCATATGTAATTTTTAATATAAAAGTTTAAAAAGAGATTGTTAATCTGATATGCTTGCAAAACTAGATAAAAAGATAAAATTATCAGTTATTGATAACAGATTTTCCAAGCGTAGATTAGTTGTAAGTGATAACTCTCTTTCAATTACATACAACGAGTAAAAGTGCAACTAAAGTCTAATTATTAATCATGGGCAACAGTAGTTCAAATCATATTCTTCCGGAAGAATTAATAGAAGATTACGTTGAATTATCATATTTGACCAAATTCGAAATAATTCAGTAAATATACCACATTATGCATTTCCGAATAAATTAATATAACTCTTTTATTTTTTAGCATTTACAACCTTCTTAATAACTTAGCACCAGGAATCTTGTGCAACAATTTGCAACATCGCTTTACGAAGATACAAATAGATAAAATATTACCCCAAGTTTCAGTGAGTAATTTCAATCTGATTTTTTTTACTTCATCCGATTAACAATATCAATTTAACTATATAACAAAGTTTATATGAATTTCTAATAGTACTGATATAGATTTAATTTTGTTTAAAAAACTAAAACTATTATTTGTTTCACTCTAAATAATGATGAATTAATTAATGTAAGTAAAGAACATGTGATAAATGTATAAATAATGATTGAAAAATTTCTTCTCATTTTTTCAGCACAGTCCATTTAGAGATTCGATATATCGAGTGTTTTCTTCAAAACAAGACGAATGTTTAAGTTTCGAGGATGTTTTAGATCTTTGTTCCGCTTTTTCCAAAAATTGTCCCTTAAACGTTCGTTCAGCCTGGGCATTTCTGATATTTGGTAATTATAGTAAAAAAAATCTAATATTTTTGTTCGCTTTTTACTTTAATTTTTGCTATTTAAAATATTATTTGATCTCATCTTTCTTCACATTTTAACACTTTGTTCCTACAAAAAATTGTAAGTACAAACATCGTTACGATGTTAAATAATTTTGTTGCTTGCAAATAAAAAAGACAAACTTTTTCTCAATGGATGCGATCGATATAATTCTGTCACATATTTTTTAGTAAAATAGATAACATTTTGAAAATAATTAATAGATTTATTCAAAATTTATTTACAAAAACTCTTTTCGTGTGTTTAATTTTCATGGAATCAATATAATAATTTCATTTATTTTACATATAATTTTCTTTAATAATCAATTACAAAAGAAATAAAATCGCATTCGTTTTCAGATTTTGACGGTGACGATCAGCTTGTAATGGCTGATTTAATTGAAGCTGTAGAAAAATTAACTAGGATTAATGAAAATGAAAAAATCAGGAATCAACTTGATCATGAAAGTATCGAACAAGTGGCACGTATGGTAAGTATCTGTAAATGAACATTGGTTTCATGGTTTTACATTTTCATAGAATATTTTGTTTAATTTTTGTTAGATTGATTTTCGGCGACTTTTTATGCAAACTGCATTGAAATAGTAAAAATTTCGAACCACTTGAATAGAAAATTCAGAATTGATCATATTGTGATCCACGCAGCGTAAACTCTTATTTAAATTAAATAATTAAACCATATTTTAAAAATTTCTCATTTAAAAAATATATTGTACTAATTGAATCTTAATTTTATAGATGATATCTGAAATGGATTTCACCGAAAATGGAAGTATTTCCCCTCAAGAATTTGAACGACTTGTTGCAAGGATGCCAGACTTTGCTCATTCTTTTCAATTTAATGTTTGATAACAGCAGATAAAAAATGATTTTATGTGATATCTTTTTTATAATAAGTCAACGCCTATATGCGATACAGTTTGAACGATCGTAGACCCCAGAAAGCACCAAATCGGGTATGCAAGGAATGGCTTTTTTTCTTTCATAAGTCAATGGAAGGATCACGGGTGTTTTGTATTTTGTATAGGACGTTGGATATTTGGTAAAATACGATGGTATTAATTTAGGTGCACATTGATACTTGTATCTGTCTGTTTTGAAAAATTCTAATGGATGGAGATTTGATGAACGATCCTTGTATTGATCACGATGAACTTGTACTACCTTTTTATTTAAAAAAAAAAAAAAAGTTAACACGAATTTATAATTCATAATGAACAAAACTTTCCAAGTAAATTAAACAAATACTGTATATAAATTGTCCACTTCTTTCATATGTGCTAAATCTATGGTAGAAATATTATTTTGCGGTATTGTAAGAGAACGAACTCTAGTCTGTAAAGTCATCGTTGGATTTGGTCGTGGAGTGTACGATTTTTTTGGTGTAGTCCAACTGTATGATGGTAACTTTAATAAAAAAAATATTATAATAAATAAAAATATATGATCTATTAAAAAAAAATAATAATTTCTTAATTTATTAAGCGTTTCAATATAAATAGGCAATAATTACTAACGATGATTCGTGAAATTTTCTCGTTCCTATAATTTTTGAAGTAACCTTCTATATCAGAACCTTTTAAGGAATCGAATTTTGAAAGATCGGGTCCCATAAACTGTGGCTTTAAAATTGGTGAATAGTATGTGTAAAATGATTTAGACATATTTAAAAAGTATATATTTTATTATTCGTAAATTTACAAAATAACGAAGAATTTATTTATTGTTTTATTCGCTATGTTTTCATGTTGATTCTAAAATTTGACATTTGGTAAAATAATTGAAGATATATAACGTGACAATAATTCAAGTCGATATTTTCTATTGAAAATTTTAATCCTTTTTTAATGAGTTATTTTGTACACGTTATATTTATTATTAAAATAAGACTACGTTGACTGCCGCTCGTTTTTCACATGATTTGTCTGCCACACCTATATGAATTTTTTATTATAAGATGCATATTTTGTCGAAATTATTTTTACACCTGATAAAGGGAGCTGTACAATTGTGATTAATGTATTATTTATATTAAGGTCACCAGTTCACATGTCATGCATATTTTCCTCGTAATTATAAAATTATTTTTGCATGTTCTATATGTCATTATTTTCTTCACTCCTATAAAAACAATGGTGTTATTTAAAAATTTATGAGTATCGATATTTATTCAAATTATGTATCTTTACTATTGATTGTTTTGAGGTCACCGGTGACCTACATGGCGCAAAAGCGAAGTCGTTTTGAGGTTACCGATGACCTACATGACAGTCAACGTGTTAATAATAATAAATAATTACAACAAAAATATATAATTATAAGTTGCTCCAATTTTCAACTTCGTAAATATCGACACCTTAATTTACAATGATTTTTTCACTAACTTTCCATTCATAACTTTCCATTATTCTTCAATCTTTCATTTGATATAATCTAACATATACAAGAAAATAAAGAAAGTTACCTACTACGCATATACATTTATAAATTATTATTAAATCTAATTTTAAAAAATAGAATGTTGAAATAACTAAAATATCATGGTCTAGAATTAAATAAGTAAACTAGTAAAGTTTTGATTATCTTCCTGTGGTTTCGACAAGTAATCTTTCATGTTCTGTACTTTAGAATTAGGATTAGGAAATTTATCGTATTTTGAATGACCACCAAAACCATCATATGTGATTGGACCACTTTTTAAAGATTCCTATAAAATATAATTTATAATAATATTAATGAGAAACAATAAATTTTTGTCATGAATAAATACATTTAACTTTTAATAATTAAGAATTATTATTATACTCACAGTAGAACTATGAGATAATCTTGGTCTTTTTTTTAAAATAGAAAATGTTGGTTTTATAGCTTTTCGTGTTGCATATTGTTCCTTTAAAGCTAAAATGCCTTTTGATTTAAGAGGAACATTAGGAGAACTTATTTCAGACTCCTGTAACAATATTATATTATTTTTGATTACCAAGTCTAATAATTAACATGTTGACCGCGCCACGCTAGTTTTCAAGAAAATCCCCGTAGGGCCGGCGCGCGCTGTTATACTAAGCTACATAACAATGCCGATATATAACGATACTGTGTAACACAGTTACTTATTGTAATAAAATATTACATTTAGAAAGAAATTCTTATGCTATGGAGAGTATAATATTTTTTGGATGGAAATCTTTCGAAATATTTACTAATATACCTTATAAGCACTAAAAAAAAGCGTCTGCCATATATGGCTGATATGGCAGTCAACGTGTTAAACATTCAATCATTTCAACCTCCAAACATTTCATATATAGAGCACATAGAAATATACTTTATTACCTCCTTCGTGATATTTGCTTTTCTCTTTTCAGCACTCTTTTTATCATTTTTGATATCCGTTTTATTAGTATTTTTAACTTCTTCTTTAGACGTTTTACTAGAATCTTGATGACTCTCTTTTGTTTTCATCGTATGTGATACACATGCTTTACTTTTTTCATTATTTTCAAGATCTTGAAGTTTATTTTGTAATATTACTTTTTCAGCTACAMAAGCCGTTAATTCAGCTTCCAATAATCTAAATACGATATAAAATAGAAAATATAAAAAGAATATAAAAGAAAGTAAAATATTTATGCCAATCGAATGAATTTGATTCTAACATACTTCCGTTTATCTCGTTCTTCCAATAGAAAATTACGTTCCATAGAAGTTTTAGTAAGTTCCTGCTGTACATCTTGCAATTTAGTTCTTAACTCTCTCCGTTTACCCACACACCTATCCATTTCCCTAAAATCACCGGAAAGATAATTAATAATAAGAATTTATAAATGTTATAATATATTTCTTCGATATACCTTTTCATTATAGATACGTATGTGATAAGCGTACTGGGATCTTTTGTTTTTGAAACCATGTCGTCAACATCTTCGACAGGAGCATCCATTAAAAGTTGTATACTTAAAATATAAACGATAAACTTGAAACATTATTAAATTTTTAAAGTACGAAATAACATTTCTTTCATAACAAGATAATAATAAACATACCTTCGCAAATCTGTAATTTTCTTTTTCAACCTAGTTGTTTCCTGTTTAAGAACATCTACTTCTGTGCATTGTTTTTTAAAATACTTTAGTTGCTCTTTTAGGGCATGAATAGCATTTTCTTTCTCACGTACTTGACTTTCAGCTTTTCTAACTTCGCATCGCAGTTCAGAATTGTGTTGCTCCCAAGTTTGATTTTGTTCTCTATAATGTTTGAGTTCTTTATCCTTGATTAAAATTTGAAACCCAAGTTTATCAACTTTTTCTTGTAAGTAAGTTGAATCTTCAACGATGGTGTCATTAGAAAAATTAAAATATATTCTATGTATTTTAGATTGATCAGTTTTCTCTCGACACTGTGGACATGTTTTTGATCTATATGACAAAAAAAATACATAAATATAAAATTATCAATTTATGGAGCAAATAATATTAAAAGAACAAACTATTTAAATGATAAAAAACTAAATGAAGAGATATTACCTTTCCAACCACCTTACTAAGCACAAAAAGTGAAAAACGTGACCACAAGGTGTATTAAACACATCATCTGATTGTACTAATAAATCACTGCATATAATACAAACAATATTCATTTTAATCCTTAGAATTCACAAAATTAAATTATCTTTTTTAAAAGCACACAAGAAGAAAACGAATAAACCAAAATATTTATGTTTGTTGGTTATGAATGAAAATATATAATAAAGATAATCAAATGTCATTATACATCTGAATTATATATTTACATATATTTGATTTCTATTTATTTCTCTATAATGCAAATTTATATAATATATTTGCAATCTCTAGCACAACAATAATCCAATAAAAAATTCAAAAACAAAATAATGTTCTTTAGCTAATGACCAATCAGTGATCCCAGAGACTTTAGTTCGTTTGATGGACACAGGGGCGCAAAATTATCGTACGCGGCAGAGAATTATCGTACGTCCCGGGAAAATTTGAAATCCGACAAATCTCGGACAGAATTTTGAAAAAGTCGACAAAAGTGTCYAAGTTCCAACTTTTGCAAGTTGATGACCTTTTTTTTTTTTCGTCGATCGGGAACGATCGTTGAACGGGAGATCGTGCTGGGAGTGGTGGTTGGGGTGGGGGTGCACCTTTGGAAAATTTGTTGACTAAAAAAAAGGTCATCATCATCAAGTTTTCGAAATTCCAAATGGATCGTACGCCACGATTTTTGGGTCGAACAGGACCTCAAATTATCGTACGCGTACGATGATTATCGTACGAATGGGATCGCTGTGACCAATGTAGTATACAAAACCACTTAGTATACGAAAACATAGATGGCGGTAGTAACAGATCGAACATTTAAATTAGTACATAGTACATAGTACAAAGATGAATTGTTGTACATTTATAAATTTAATTATATTTGATTATATGTAATATAATTGCATATTTTATTACATTTAAAGAGATATTCAGACGTTAAATATTTACTTATATATACATGGAACATTTATTATTATTTCCAGTGTGTCGACAACAAATTATAATTATTTATTCTACAATATTATTATTATTTAACTAATACAAAATATTAATCGTACAACTTCTTCTATCAGGAAATTATTGTGTTTACAATTTAAAAAAGTATTATTTGAATTACAATATGTACTAATTTATATGTTATATATTATACAAATATAATTAGTTTACAATAATACAGTCATTCCATAATAATACTGAGATGGAAACTAATGAATATATATATATATATATTTTTAATATGTAACTCTTTGCCGACAGTAAAAAGATAAAATAAATTTATTATTAAAAATGTTCATTATAATAACATTATAAATATGTGTACGAAAAATGTTTTTATTTTTATTAATCAATCAAATTTGTTTTTTGTGTTTCCATTATAAATATTACTATCTAAAAGTGAAAAAAACACTTTATCAAAACAATGAAAATAAAGATATAATAAATTATGAAATCAGTGAAAAAATAAATAGATAAAGGTAATCATTTCATTTCAACTAATATTTAACATGAAGTAACAGACAAATAAAAATGCTAGAAGAAGAGAGATTAATATTAATGCTCAGCTTATTTAAAATCAGTAACGAGATAGTGCAGAAGGTATATAATTATGGAAAAAGAACAACCAGTCAAGATAGAAATGTAATATATGCAATTGTTTAAAGTTTGGAATCTTGTTCCGATCCATCTGAAGGGTCGAATTTATCCGGTTGTTTCACTTCAACTTCTATATTAGTTAAGTTCGGTGAACTCCTTGCTTGAGGTATAATGATATGCAGAGAAGTTGGCACATTACAGACGGTTTTCCGACGAGCCAACAATGACGGTCTTCTTTCGTGCATTTTCCAGTGAACACCCTTCTTGTCACTGGACCCACTTGAAGAATGTCTTTGAAGAAGATGCTTAGGATAACTTTCAATGGTTTCTCTGAAATTTGGTAGGTTTATTTCTTCTATTTGTGAATCCGAAGATTCTGCAGTATCCGTTGAAACAAATCGTTCGAATCGATCAACGTCTTTTACATTTTCCGCGGTATCATTGTCTTGGTCCTCGATATACCGGTCATCAACATTTTCATGATAAAAAGCAGTATTGGAAAATCCTCTGCGATTTTCTTGATCCTTAGATTCATCGGTGTTGTATGAAAAATCCGAAACTGGTGGAACGCATAATATTTGCGGTGCATTAAATACCGCGGGTGTATCGGGACCTCGAGGACTGTTTGTTCGTGATAAATTAGTAGCACTCGGCCAAGGTTGCAACCATATCTTCGAAGCCTTTGTTAATGGAAAGAAAGGCTTTCGATTCGAATCGATTCGTGGAGTTCCATGTCTAGCCATTGTTGAAAATTTTTTTATAGCACCGGTCAAGCGCCGACGTTGTGGATCACCTTGCTCAATTTCCCCTTGTTGTGATTGTTGTTCTTGATTATCTAACTGAAAAACCGTTTCACTATCACTACGATCCATCGGTGGAGTTGTTTGAGGGGACCCGCTGATCTGGCTGAAACAAACGAATCTAACTTAATAGAGTTCATATGTACAATTTTAATTTTATGGTAAAACTTACCCCATTATCCGAAAATATCGACAACAAAAATATATTACACGCACATATCAAATTAATGAAAAATATATATATAATCGATAAATTAGTTAAACTAATTTCAATCTTACCGCTTTTCAGTCATTGGGCTATCAGTGCGTATCGCTAAACTAGCGCTGGATGTACGTGGTGTGCCTCTATGTTCTTCATCTTCTTCTGCTATTCCTGGTAAGAACATTGTTTGCTTTTCTTCTGGCACCCTAAACATCATTTAATTTTTTTTGCTAATTATTTTCTCTCTCCGACTTTCAAAATATAACTATAAACAATTTAATAACCAAAAGATAACTTACGGCATATCTGCTACGCTGCCACGATAGGTCTTCCTCTTGTACGCTGCTGCTGCTTCGGTGTATGGTAAAATAAGATTTTCTGCATCAAAGTACATGTCTTTTACCAGAGGCGGACACCGATTCATTAAAGTGTCTACTCCCAAATATGACACCTAAAATAAACGCAAATCTTTTGTAAATTTTTAACAAGTAAAATTATTTATTTAAAAACATAATTTTAACCTTGACATGGCGATCGATAAGCCAATTCAATTCGAAATCCTCATCATCGTCGCCGAATGGATTAATCAATTGTTCAGCTACCTGTTAAAAATCAACAATTTAATTTCTGCTTCATTGTATTGTTGATATTTTGTCATTACCTTTAATAAACCCATGAAGAAAAAAAATTGCAGTATCGTAAATATAGGACAATACTTGTCAATTTTTAATTGAAACTGTTTTTCATTTCCCTCAATATGTTGACGACCGACAAGTGCAACGGCAAAGAAACTGTACGTTGCAAGTGTCACAACTTGCGTGTAAACTAAAGGGATGGAAACCCAATCGTAACTCCATAAAAGTCCACATTTGGAACGAAAATCATTGAATTCCTATATAACAAATATTTCAAAAAACTTGTATATATATTTCGGTATCAAGATTTGAATTACTGTTAATACGAAGAATTAACAAAACAAGAAATCAATTTTAGCCGATAATTAATCGCAAAAGTTATTAAGTTGTACACGTTTAATTTGGAAAAAACAACAAAGTCATAATCGTTGAAACGTGACTATCTTGAAGTTTCCAGCCTTTTGACAGAACAAATAATTATATGAATAATAAATTTGTAAAAATCATTTTTTCTACGGAGGTCAAATAAATCGTACTTGATAATTTTCAAGAAATGTCTTCCCATCAATGAAATATGGAGTAAACCAACCTCCATAATAAGTTTTAAACCTTGGGCATCGGGCAATCGATGATTACGACGTGCTTCCTTTAACAGATTAATAAACCACGTACACGGAATCCAGTAAGTATTGAATTCGAGACTTGGTACCGATTGGAATAAATCCAATTCCAAAGCAGTCATGAAACCTAAAACAAATTCTAATTATTCAAATAATAAAATAGAACATTTTTTAAAGGGATATTTAACTTTACCGGAATCTACCACGTGATCAAGAGTTGGAAAGCGTCTTTTAACAGCCGAACTAATGGAACGTAATACAAGTATGAGAGAAAGATTTAAATATCTCATGAGACTTCTCCGCAACATTCGACCATATTCATCATCTCCGCTAATGTAAAGCGCAACTAGATGCATAACCCTGGCAAATAATCGAACAATTAGCTTTAAAAAGAAATAAATTTCATTTGAAAACATACTTATCTGGCCAAGGTATCGCGTTGTATTGTTTCCACCATCTGTCAGCTACGTGAGACACGTAAAATCCTAGTACGAAACTAAGTGGAATCAGATTGATGAATGTGTCGCAATAAATTACGAATTTCTCAAATTCCCTGTAAAAAAAAAACAGTAATAAATGTTTTTTATTATAATTTGAAATTAATTGTAAGTGTGTACCTTTTTTGTGCATCGATCAATGCATAACGATAAATAGCCGATAGCGATGCAAACATAATCAAAAAAAGTAGAAGTTCTCTGTAAATAAGTTTGTAGAGGGAACCCCTCCACATAAGCAAAAGTCTGGTAAATCCACCGCTCGTGGAGCTGGCAACCTCGTATTGATAAGAGACGGTCATTTTTTATCCATTTAGAAAAATCTCGTCTACTCACGATCAAATACTCCCCTTTATTTTGCGTATAGTTATTCATACCCCTTTACGATTATACTTAAACTTTAACTATTTGGTCTAAGAATGTTCAAATATAATTATAAGATAATATAATAAGCACAGTTTAATTATTCATAATGAATTCCTTATCTTACATTATCTTACATTTTGAGATTTTGACATTTACACTGTTAGGAGTTCAACCATAATAATCGATGATCATTATAATTGAGTATAATGCACAAGAATATTTCGGTGCTAACTATTAATAAAGTAATATACAGTTCTGCCATTTTATCGTAATTAAATCGCAACGATAGGCTACCCTTTATCTGTAAAATAACAAATTAAATGATTTTTAATTTATAGAAAATAGCTACGTCTCACGTTCAACCTACCATTTGCAAATGTATCGCATTTTCTCGAAACATCGAAAATATATCGTGTAGTAATCATGCTATGACCACAGACGGTACATCCTGCACCTTTAATGAAAAATCGGAATATACATTTTCTTACTAAACATAAAATATTATTTATTATCATCGTAATTAATTTTATTATTAAATTACATTAAAAAAGATTGTTAGAATGAGAACAGAGATACCACATTTCAACAAAATGAAAGCTAAATAATTCTCGTAATAATTTGGTATAAACGTTTTTGCAATTAATCCTCTCATCTTATTATAAAATAAATTCTATTTGCGTTAACAGGTCTCATTCCTTCGTGTGTTGAAATTCACTAATATCGAATTTCGAGACAACTAGACATCTTGGAAAGATTTAAATGAGCTACGATCATATCTGATGCGAATGACCATTGCTTGAAGATAAAGAAACAACAATGAAATTTGTCGTTTAACAGACGATTTACAAGTAGATCTATATAGAATTATCTAGAAATAGTCTCGTAGCTCGAAGAAGTGAAATCGGTTAAAACCAGAAAGAACTAGGCCTAGGTCTTTGCGCCAAAGACATACCTTCTTACTTACATATATGTCTCTTTGTAACGACATCGTTTGTCTTAAAATGTAATCTAGCATTTATTTATTGACTAAATAGATCCTTAGAAGAAGAATACGTTTTTCCAAGTAACATTTATAAGAACTTAATAAAGATGTCAATTTACATTCCTTTCTTGAAATAACTTTATAAATAAATCAAATAAATGAGAAATAAATTTATATAGATATCATTTGAATGATACAAAAAAAATATTAAATTATTGACGATGAATGAATAAGAGCTGATACGACACAAGTATTTTCTTGAATGGCGGATATGTGATACAAGATGCAAATTATGTCACGTACCAGACAATCGTACAAGCAAAGTTTTCATGCCAATACAAATAATGTTGGCGTGGCTGAAAATCTTTTCTTATTTTTTCTTTTTTTTTTGTTTCTTTTTAATTCTTTTTACAGTTGCGCCGTAAATAATATTAAATATTAGGATTCGCGCCAGTATGCACCGTTGTTGATAAATATAACTCTCTACGGTTGTCGAAGTAGCCACTGTCTAAGTAAACACACAATTTACGAGAGAGATATCCGTTCGTAGGTGTTTTAAGGAACATGCCTTGTCTCGTTCGATTATAATCGTTCATTTTTCTAACATCTTAAATGATTTTTTTCTCTTTTTTTTTTTTTTTAAAGAAATTTGAATTATTCTGATGCTCAAATACAACTTAGAAAAAGAACAATTTTTCTCATTGAATTGTTTTCGATGTTTATATAATTTATTATTGATTTACGTGTTTTTGTTGTTGTTTAAGAAAAAGAAAAACATCTTTCAATTAGAATAAATTATCAGAATTTTGTTTAATATTCGCGAACTATTGTCTCTGAAAACACATTTCATCCGTTCATCGTACAAACCACTAACAAATTTATCGTCTTGGCACAAGAGACGTTAGCAGTCACAAAAAGAGGCCTTCAAATTTCTCATGTCTACCCGTGGCCCGATTTGCTCTCTTTATTATTCTTATTATATATCTCACGTTTCTCTACTCTGATAATAAATAAATGTATAATCTATATGTTCGAATGATTAAACAATTTTCCTCGTAGATTTCTTTGGATAAGTTTTCATAGCATGTATATGTGTGTGTATATACAGACAAATATGCGTGATAAATTTGTTTCAAACTATTACAAAAGAGATGCATAAATACACTTAAGATTTCTAATTTAATCATTTTGTTATCAATCATTTATAATTATGATAATAATAATTAATGAAATTATACTTAAAAAAAGTGTTATTGTTATAAAAATGCTAGTTAAAAGATTGAATTATTATTTTATTTTATTTTCTAGATATACTGTTAATGTTAATCCTTTTATTTTTTCAATAAATATAAAATAAATTACTATTATGTTTATTTGTTTAAGTATTAAGTATTTCTGATCAGTAAATAAAGTGAAACATTATCGGAAAGTATCCCGTTGACAGATTTATAAAAGTCAACCATTTGCGAACGAGTTGCAGCATCTGAATACAGATTTTCAGACGTATAAACCTTGAAATTAAATATATTTTAAGCTTATGCATATCTAACACTGTGAATTCCTCTGTCCTACGTTTTCATTTCGATAATATCGTTGAATATAAATAATTAACATTTTCTTGTTAGTATGGAAAAAAAATGAAAAGAAAGCATGGATAATTTCTTATCGATATCTTGCGTATGTTTTGAGATTGTACGTGCAAAATTGATAAACAAATTTGAACATTATTCTTATTGTAAATTATTATCATATTGTGAATAATATCAATCAAAAATAAACGAACACATCCTGTAAAATATCATCGTTTTTTAATTAATTTTAAATAATATGCACTTTTTTTAAAGCTTGTTTGTATAAATAAAAGAAAATATTTTTATTCAATTAGTGAAATATTGAGAATATAAAACGAATAATCCATTAGTGATTTTAATACAAACTTGTTAATTTTTAAAAAGAGTCGTAATAGAATATTAAAAATAATCTTTGACGATTCTTACTTCTTACTTCTATTATTAAAAAGAATCAACATTTAATTACTTAACTCTTACCGTTCATACCCACGTAGAAAGAAAATCTGTAGACATAGAATACTTTAATTGATCTTTGCTCAGTTATATAATTAACAAATTATTTTCTATTTTTATTCTATAGCAAAATTACTTAATCAAATCCAACATAAAACTGTTCAAATATTTTTTATAAAACGTTCAATTTAAATTTATATTTAAATAATATTTTAAATATTAATAACAATAGTTTCTTATGTCCAACTTCATAAGTATTTCATGAACGTGTTTAAACGTAATTCATAAGTGTTACACAATCTTTTTTCTTATCTAGATAAATTCACTATGATCTTTTTTTCATCCCAATAAAGGTAACAATGACATTTATGAGAACTTGCATAGATCATTTATTGTTTCACTTGAAATCACTCAATTATAGATAAAAATACAATTATAAGTTATAAACTTAAAGCTGTAATAAAGAAATCGACGTTATTATAAATTAATAAATATTAATGAATATTATCGAACTGGAAGTTTAAAACATCTCGTTTTTCAAAAAAAACAAAACTATATTAACTTTTGATGCACACCTGACACTCGTCAGTTGAGAACTGATTCGGTAGTCAGTATCATCCCTTCGGATATGTTTTAACATTGAAGTCTGCTCGATCTCGATCCGATGGCAAGTACCCAAAATCTATAAGAGTTCGAATGTCAAGCTCATGCCGTATATTTTCAAACGTAAGTTTCTCATTTAAAATTTTTTTAGTAATCTAGCATCTCATTTTGCATTGGATCAAATACTATCACATCTTTCAGAAGCGCAAAAATATAAAAATTATTCATTTTCATCATAATAACTACATGTATTCATAATATTAGATTTTTATTGTTATTCGAAGTAAATTTAGAGACATTAGACTTTTATAAACTAATGTTCATGTTTGTTTACAATTTAAACTTAAATTTCTATTTCAAAATTGAATTTAAATGTATGTTGTATTCTTTTTCTACTTTATCGATAGATTGAACTATCGATAGAGCACTGTCTATCGATAGATCGAACTGCCATCTAGCTAGAAAATTTTAGTACTGCTGTCTAGAGCAAATCATTTATCCGGTAACCAATAACAACGCGTAACTGGTTAACAAATTTGTGATTTATAAGTTTTATACATTAAACTTAAGACTTATACCTTATATTTTTCTCTCTTTTAAGGTTAATTAATTAACAGTTTTGTTAATATATAACAATATATGGTAAGTAATGGATACATGAATCTATCTGTGATAATATGGTAAGAAATGATACATGAATCTGTTATAAAAATGATAATTGTTAATTTACATAAATAAATTAAAAGTTGTTATGATAAAATGAATATATGAAATCAGAATTAAAATATATCAAAATAATAATTATTTTTTCCTTCCATAGCATTAAATATGAGTGTTGATAAGTCTTTTTTATTACAAAAGCAAGTAAAAGATAATTCAGAAGATTTAAAAAGAGAATTTCTTAATTTGAAAACTTGGGAAGAAGAAATGAAACGTAAAGAGAAGGAACTTCTTGATAAAAGCAATGATCAAGTAAACTTAATCATATTTTATAAAAAAGAAACAATGAATATAATTATTAAACAATAATACTCATCCTTTTCCTTTATATTATTTAAACTTTACAATAATGATGATATTCATTACATAGGTTTTACCACCAATAAGAAGTAAAAAGAAAAAGGTAATGCAAAAGCCTCCTGTGAAAGAAAAATGTAACGAAAATACAAAGCGAATTAAGTCAAGTGATTATTCCTCTTGGGATAAATTCGACGTGGTGAGTTATGAAATTTTTAAAATGCTTATATTTATAGTATATATTTAAAAACTATATTGTGTTTGGATACAAAATAATAATATTTAATTGAAGGAAAAAGCTTGCAAAGAAATAGATAAAACAGATTCATCAGATGAATCCGGAGAGGAATTGAATGAAGATGAATTAAAAAAGCGGCATGATATAGCAACAGAGCATAAACAAAAGGGCAATATACTCGTACAACAACAAAAATGGGACAGTGCCATTGCGTGTTATTCTGAGGCAATAAAAGTTTTTCCATACGATGCTGTCTTCTATGCCAATCGTGCTCTTTGTCATTTAAAAAAGGATAGGTATGTCGTCTGTAATATGTATATATTTTTTTAATGTTATAATATAATACTTATAATATTACAATATTGTATTTAATTTTATTATAGCTTATACTCTGCAGAAGCTGATTGTACTACAGCGATTCAGTTGGATTCACAGTATGTGAAAGCTTATCACAGAAGAGCACTATCAAGACTAGAATTAAAACAATATAAAGAAGCAAAAGAAGATTTAGAAAAAATATTGCAGTTAGAGCCATCTAATAAGGAAGCACAAGCCAAACTTGCTCAAGTCAATAAAAAATTGGAGCCTAAGGTTTATAATTAATATCAATTTTTTATAATATCAATTTAATTATAAATGTCTTTGACATATAAATATTAATTTTTCAGTCAATTATCATATCTGAAGAAAAGACGTCGAAGGAGACATCATTAGAAAAAACGATTGGTGAAAAAATTTGCAATTCTAATAAAAATATTAACAAGGAAATAAATAATAAGAAAACAGAACAAGATGTTGTAAATAAAACAATAAAAAACAAGACAAAATATATGCAAATTCCTGACTGGTTACCGGAGAAAGATAATGTCGAAATCATAGAGCCTATTATTAAACCACCTCATTTGCGTTCAAAAGTAAGGAAATTCCATTAAAATCATTATTATATTAAATGTAAAAATGTTTAATATTTGACTTTTCATTTATAGAAGCCAATGAAACGTATTGTAGTACAAGACGCAGAATTTGAAATTGCGACATGTAAAAAAGAAGTTCCACTAAATGAGACAGATAAAATTCAAAAAGCTGAATCATTTAATATGGTTGATGATAAAGTTGTTGCAAAGAACAACGTTTTAATTAAGTCTTGCGAAGTTAAACAAAATGTACCCGTAGAACTAAAAATTCCAAAAACAGCTGTACAATTTATTATAGATTGGCGGAGAAATAAATCATCGGAATATCGCTATCGTTACCTAAAAGTATTTAACTAATTTAATGTCGCGATAATATAGCCATAAATAATTATTTATGAAATTAATAACACTCTAAATTTCAGCAATTACCTTCGAACAGTTTGCCACAACTATTTCAAGATTCTATGGAGTCGGATATTTTCAGTGAGATTTTAGACATTCTTAGAACTGAATTCATACCACGAAAAAATTCGGTATATCAGTATTTGGAATGTTTAAGTCAAATAAAAAGATTTCGAGCACTTGTTATGTTTATTAATAATGCGGAGAAAGAGGGTATGTATATCGTGAATATTTATCTTTAACAAAATTATAAACAATCTATTCATTTTTTATAGGTATAAAAACTCTTATCGAGTATACTAAAAATACTGATAATATATCGGAAGAAAAACTAGAAAAATTATATGAAGTATACGAAATTTGATACGAAACAAAATTTTAGGTATGAATTAGATTGTAAATTTAATCTAGCTTTAACTTTATTACAAATATATGTATTTCATGGACTTTGTGAATATACAACCAAGTTTACTTACTAGTCTAATAGGCTGTAAATAGATAAATATCTATCTATATATTTGATGCAATAACAATAAGATTCATAAAAAACACTTTTGTTTTATTTTTACAGGTGCTAAATATTTATTCATTTATTCAAAATAACTTTACTTCCATATAAATATTTTATATTTAAAAATCAATAATATCCTTTAATATATTTACAAAATGTCTATTTACAAAAGTACAATTTATATTTTTATTACACACATACCTTCAATATTGATCACACTAAAGACGAAAATGTATATGAATTATTAAAAATGCTTTCTCTATATATCATATATTAAATATATTCCAAACGTTACAAAAAAATTGTTTTAAATAGTATATACTTTACATGTCACCGTTTAATAATCTCTGTATTTTTTGATTATTCTTTATTATTCTAGCTTTCGCTTGATAAATTTTACTTAATTGATCCTGAATATTATTGTCAATTTCTTTTAACGTCAACTGCATTGGATCTATTATTTCTTGTGTACGTCTGAAAATAATAAGTAACATATATGAATATATTTAATATATTTTGTATATGATGTTATTTACAGATATTATACATTTGTTCCTTTTCCAACTGTTTGCTTAGTTGATTATACTGATTTCTCCAATCATGTAATTCCTTTTGCATCATTTCTATATCTTCCTATATAAATAAATTACAGAACAAATAAACACTATTTAACATACATTTATATCAAAATTTATATCAATACTCTAGCATAAATTGAAACGATACCTGTAAATAATCCAACAATTTTCCTAAAGGATTCGTTGTACGAGTTAACATCTGTATTGTACCGCGCAATTTATCAATTTCTTTAATTGCAGCCTCATGATCACGCTTTGTACCTGCCTCCCATGCCTAAATTCAAAAATATTTATATTTTATAAAATACTTCTCAGAGTAATTAATTAACATAAGCATAAATAAATAAAAATATCTTACAATATCAACTTTTTTTGGTAAAACATCGACATTTTCAGTGTTGACCAATTCTCTTTGAGTTTCTAAAATTTGTGCTACAAGATGACCATGTTCTTGAGTTAATTCATGGTCAATTTTATAATTGCTCATATTTTCTAAAGTTGTTCCAATGCTTCCCTTGTTTTCTACGATCACCATATCTTCATTATCATTATCTTTTGTACTTGTATTTTCAATTATTACAGTAATGTTTCCTATAGGCGTACTAAAATCGAAATACATCATTTAATTTATAAATATTGTTTTATTAATAATTAATTTAATTAATATGTACTACCTTATTTCTTCATTAGGAATTAAGTCAGTTTTTCCTTTTATTTTAGGAGCAGCGGGTCTTGCGCTACTAGGTCTGGCAGTAGGTGGACGTAAAAATGTTCTTGATTTAGATGTACTAGGTTCTTGTTCACTATTAAATTTATGCTTCTGTAAATTGGATGCATGACTAATTGAATTTTCAAGTTCTGTTAATTGCGAATCAATATTTATATTTTCATATGTCGATTCGGATTCTGTTTTTAACTTTCCTTTATCTATACTTTCTATTGATTTCGTTGTAGGTACTATTTCCGATATCATTTTTATCGATTCCTTAGACTCACTTTCTTGTTTTGATAGCGTTCGTTTCCCCCTACTTGCGGATTCTTTTCTTTGAGAATGTTCATTCGATTTCTTCTCAGCATTTATATTTGTCAGAGATTTCCCTGTTTGTACTTCTGTGAGAACCGTGGAAGATACATGATTCTGTTTCTGTTTAATAGCCGAAGAATGTCTTGTTTTTTGTACTTGTTCATCTTCAAGTAACTGAGTAAAATAATAATTTATTTGTTATTTAATATGTTCAAAAATAAAATTTAGTTCAATTTACCTCGGTTGGTGGAACATCTATGCCATCATTACTCTTTCCCATATTATTTTCTTGACTTTCTTGTTTTATTACATCACTATTTTTATTGTTACTATCTTCTTCATTAGTTTTAGATCCAACTTTTCGTGTACTGCTATTTTTTGTCTGTGATCCGGGCGTATTCTTTTCTTTTTCAGTTGGTTTCCTCGTTTGTGATACCTGTCTAGTTGATTTCTTAGCAACATCGTCTTTAGTTATTTTTAATTTTGATGCTCCTTTTGATTTCTTTTGTAAACCTTTCTTATAATGTTCAATTGCCTCTGCACTGTTTACCTAACTCAATTATAGATATATATTATATAATATTATTGAAACATATGTTAGATAAGTATAAAAATGTTGTACTTTTTTATCAAGAGCTTTTCCAATAGCTTGTAAAAGTTCATTGGTTTTAGTAGCTTCTTGCCCGGAAACTATTTTACTTGCTCTTACTGTTAAATTATTCCCAGATATTAATTCTAAAAGATATAATTTTATATATTAATATAATATTTTAAATACGATTAGCTTACATGGAATGTTTAATTTCTTAGAACTTACTAACAACATCTATAAGTTTAGTTAAATACGCAACTTTGGACTCCTTATCTTTTATATTGTCTGAGTTTAATTCTTCTTCCGTGAATAAACCTTTTAAGAAACCAGTCTCCTGTATTATCTGTAAGAAAATTATCCATATAATTCAAATATTATTGATGAACAATTAAAATAAATATATAACAAAATAAAAATTATTAATTGAAAAACAGTATGAATAAATTGTTACAATTCATACAATTGATATAATATCATGAATAAATCTGAAAGGTGGTTTCCTCAGCAATTTTTCAGTTAACGGTGGCTTTTTAAAATATTTTCCAAGTAAATCTTGGGTTTTTTTTATTACTTCTGGCTTCACGTCGTCTGTCATAGTTAAATATTGTTAAAATCATACGAAAAAGCGTGGAACTGTTCAAACTACTCCCCTTAAAATCTTGATAAGCTTTTTGTGGATATGTACAGTTGCTTAGCAACAACCACGTGGTTTAAACGTCAAATAATTAATCTTTATGATGTTCAAGGACTCTTATAATTTATTTACATTTATTATCAATAATTTTTTTTTTTAATATTATATATTTTTCGTAATATTAACAAAGTTTAAATAATCATAAAATATAGAAAATATAAATATGCATATAATTCAAATAAATTATAATATTAATAGGGAGCAATCAATAAAAATTATCACAATTGATCTTCTCATTTATCTTTTAGTAACTAATTACATTTTCATATTATTGTCATAATATTTAAAATAAATTATATACCCTATTTAATGCATCTTTTCAACAACAACAAAATGGTATTTATTTGCGTGAAAATTACGCTTGAAAATAATCTATCTTTAGAAATGATTTTTTCCAATAAAATAACATTTTTTCAAGATATAAAATAATCAACTCGCATGAAAATCTTTTATTTTTCAAATGAACTCATGATCATCAAAAATTGGAAAAAAATTGGAGCTAGAATATTTTAATAGTGTAAACTCTCTCTTGCAAACTCTATTCATCTATGATGTATGTATGTATATATATATATATATGCATTTGTCGTCTGCTATAGGATAACCTAACTTAAATAGAATGTAAAAATTTGATATGGATAAGATATTTGCTACAGTGATTAGTATAAAAAATACATAACAATTTTGTTAATATTAACGTGATTGATTTTATTTTTCTAGAATCATGACTGTCTTTAATTTTGTAAATAAGAAAGTGAATGAAAATCCATTAGATAATAATAAAGTTAATGAGAAGAAAGAAAGTCAAACAAATGATAGCAATGAAAATAAAAAATTTGATAAAAATACTTCTACAACAGAAGATTCAGTAGATAATGAAAATTGGGGTTATGATATGTACCCTGAAAGAAGGGGTACATATAAACCAACATTTTTAAAAAAATTATTCGGTGAAGGAAGGGAAGAAGTTGACAGATTGAAATGTGAAGGAAAAGTATACAAGTGTTTGAAAACTAGTATGTTATTTATATCTTCTACTATAATTATTGTTATTTTATTATTCTAGTTTTAATTTTTATATTTATTGTTTTATTATTTAGGTCCATTAATAAAACTTATGACGGCAGCATTAAAAAGTTCTGGATGGTAAGTAATCTTGCCAATGTATACTTATTACATCATTATAACTATTTTTATATTTAAACTAATACAATATTAGGATCTATTTTATATATAACATTTATAAAATTTAATTCAAGCAGTTAAAGTAATTAATTGTTTATTTATATTTATAGTGAAATTGATATTCGTCGTCATATTTCTTGTGAAGTATGTGATAGTTCTGTAACCGGTGGCTATGATGCAGAACTTAATCAGGTAAATGTTAGAATATTATGAACATTAAATTTTACAATTGTAAGATAATACATTTGGCCTTTAAATAGATAAATTTTAAAATAAAGTAAATGTCTGTTTTGTTAATATCTATATTACAATTTCAGATCGTTATATGTCAAAATACTGCTCGAAGTAAATCAAAAATACAGAGTGTATTAGCTCACGAAATGATACATATGTTTGACTATTGTCGCAACAAAGTGGACTTTGGGAACATTGATCATTTAGCTTGCACTGAAGTAAGAGCAGCTAATCTCTTGCATTGTAGTTTTATGAGTGCCATGATTCAAGGAAGTGCGTCTCCATTTCATATAAAACAAGCTCATCAAGTATGAATTACATTCTTATATATTATCGATAACTAAATCATGAAGATACACACATATATTTGACATTTAACAATGAAATTATATTAATTATATAGGACTGCGTAAAGAGCTTGGCAAAAGCATCTCTAATGGCAGTGAAAAATATAACAGAAGAAGAAGCTAAAATGGCAATCGAAAAAATTTTTCCTATGTGTTACAATGACTTAGAACCAATTGGACGACGTATTCGTAGAAACTCTTTAGATATTAATAGAGCATATATGGAGGCTCCACTTTATGGATATTTGCATGATGATAATAAATGATCTATCAAGAATTCATTTTACAAATATACGAAATCAATTTATTGGCTGCCGTAGGTTCTTCACTATAATTTTTACAAAGTTGATTAATGATATTGTAAATAATTATATTGACATTATATGGTTATTATTACCGCACTCTGTAGTTTAAAGTTATATAAATTTAAACAATAATTTTTAATCAGACTATATCATAAAATATTACTATAAAATCATATTTCATTCATCATCATTATCTTAACTTTATTGAATTCTTGGAAATTATTTTTTAAACGTATGAATATAATTGTATATAAAATAAAGTTTAAAATTTCCGCTGTTTTGGCTAATAATGGGATTGGTAGTCGTGGTTTAAACGTTAACCAATCAGAGCTATCAATTCAATAACACCGCCATCTATGAATATAAGAATGAATGATTGACCGACATTTTTTGTTTGGTTTTCTTTCTTTTGCACAGTATATGCCTTTATTTAATTTCTGTGAGAGTTAAGTGGAAGTGTGTTCTTTCGCTTGTAATTTTCGAAGGAAGAATCATGGCTGAAGTAAGTACATTTGTAAGAAAATCTATTAAAATTCATAGCATCAGCAATATAAAATAATAATATAGTGCATTTTATAAATGTTCTTATCATAATATATGTTGTGCAAGGAATATTAACGTATAACAATGTGGTTAGATTGAACATAACCAATTCCTACAAGTATTTTTTTTTTGCATATTTCAGGCTGATGAAACTCAGAAGAAAAAGAGGACTTTTCGGAAGTTCACCTTCCGAGGAGTTGATCTCGACCAACTCCTGGATATGCCAAAGTATGCTTTCATTATTAGTATGATATATTTATAATTGAATTTTGCTTTCATCTATACTTTAATCATAACATTGCTCATTAAGAAATAACAACTATTTAAATTTCTTATTATTATTATTTTAGTGAGCAACTTATGGATTTGATGCACGCACGTGCTAGAAGACGTTTCTCTCATGGGTTGAAACGTAAATCGATGGCACTTGTGAAGAAGTTGCGTAAAGCCAAAAAAGAAACTCCTCCCAATGAAAAGCCAGAAATTGTTAAAACACATTTGCGTAATATGATCATTGTTCCAGAAATGGTAGGTTCCATTGTTGGAGTTTACAATGGTAAAACATTCAATCAGGTTGAAATCAAACCAGAAATGATTGGCCATTATCTTGGAGAATTCTCTGTTACTTACAAACCAGTTAAACATGGAAGGCCCGGTATTGGTGCCACTCATTCTTCAAGATTTATTCCACTTAAATAAAATGTATTTTTAAGATAATAAAATATAAAAATACTTCATTTTAATTTTATTATTATTTTATAGAACAAATTTCTCCAATATTTGTATAACTATTGCTAAGATTATTTCATATAAATGAAAGTAAAAAATCGGATAGATGAACAAATAGCATACTACTGATATTTAATTGAAATTAGACTATTTGAAGAGCTAAAATTAACTCAAAATAAAGTTAACGTAACGATTCAATTACATGTATATGAAAAAAAAATATTTGATTAAATTTTATTTAATTTTATCTCAAAACCGATGTGCAGTGGCGCCATCTGATTTTGTAGTTTTAAAATTAAGTTTATAAATAAAGATACGTGCTAAAGAGGTTAGTAAGGTTAAGAATTCACATGGTTAAATTTAGTAAAACTTAAAGAGTAATTTATTTCATCATTAAAGTTTGATCAAATATATTATTATTTTTATTAAGAAATAAGTATATTAGTTAACGTGATGTCACTCCTTAAAAATAAAACATTACGTTATGGTGTTCCATTTGTAATTTTAGTCGTTGGTGCATCATTTGGGCTCAGAGAATTTACACAGTTGAGGTGAAGAAAAAGTCGTTTTTATTTATAATTTATCATATTATTTTATAAAAGAATAATAATGGAATTATAAGATGTCAAGACTAATTTGTTCTAATTTATTTTCGTATTTTTATAAAATTTAATAATATTAGATATTATTTTAGATACACGTATAGACAACAAACAGCGTATTATACAGAAGCAAAGAAATTAGGTATAGAAGTTAAAAAACCAGGTGAAGTTACTTTAGAAAGCGAATATGAAAAAGTGAAACAAGTATGTTATAAACTACAAATAATATTACAATGTACAAGATATCTTAGTCCATATCAACTATTTTTATATTTAAATGAACAAAGTTGATCTTTACAAATTCTTTAAACAAATTAATAACTTCGGAATATGTTTTTTTCTAAGCTATTTAATTTTTATCTTTAAAATTTTTTACTGTGTTTAATATTAGCTATGAAAAAATTAAGATGTTGATATCAATCGAGACACCCTGTCCATAACATAAATACTTCATAGTTAAGTTACGTTATACGTCATATTAAACATTAGCAATCAGTAGTGTATTTTGGGTTTAGAAATGTGTTTTTACAGCTAATGAATTATTATTACTTAAATGGAAACCTCAATGAAAGAGGCTCATCACTTCACGTATTGATTAACAAGATAAATTTTATAGAAATAATCTAAATTTTATTTCAAATGTTTTTTTATGTATTATAAAAGCTTTATTACATTCGTATTTTTTAAAATTAAAAGCAGTCAAATATATACAAAATTGAATGTTATATATATATTTTTCTTTTTTATTACAATTTTAGATGAATATTGATAATTGGAAAAATGTAAGAATACCAAGGCCCTGGGAAGAATAAATAAAAAAACTCCTCAACAATAAGTTATTTCTAGCATAAAAAATAGGCAGTATGTTTTAATGTAAAACTTGGCAGTGCTAATGTATGATTCGAATAACACTCATAATGATAACAGATTCAGAAATATATAACAAGAATATTTTTAAAAACACATTCATTCAACATATGCATATTGTCCACATTTAATTGATTTCAATCTAACTTTAATGGCTCTTCTGTAAGTATAAAAATTTATTTTATAAATATCTAATATGTAAATAATTTTAATAGAAAGACTTACTTCTCTTAAATCCGAACATATTTAATAAACTTAATTGTCCACGTTCAGAAGATATTCGTTTACTTCTAGGAATTTGTTTAGGTGTCAATTTTTTATTGGTTTTCTGAAAAATATTAAATTTAAAAAATTACAAAAATATTATGCATAAACTTTTTATATATAAGTATAATTAAAATTTTTGTAATATGAATACCGTAAATACGCTAATAATATACAAACCGTTTGAGAACTTGTTTGTGGCCTTTTGATGGTTTTTTCTGAGTGATCGTCAATCGATTTATTTAATTTAATATTAGAAAATTTAAATAGAGTACTCGTATTATCTTCTATACTATTTTGGCTAACCGAATAATCAGATTCTGAACTAGGACTGCACGATTGCGGTATATTACAATTATAGTTATTTATATCGTCGTTAATACTTAAATCTATTTTTTCTACTTCATTCGTTGAAGTAATTAAACTTCTTGATTCTTTTGCATGATTGGAGGAACAGATACCTTGCTTAGTAATTGTTTCTTCTATAATATTTCTTTCATGAATCATACTTTCATTTTTGTTAACTAATGTACTTGTATTTGATTGGTTAGCATCTATGGAATGTGCATTATTTACATTATTAAATTCTATTGAATATTTTAGGTTATTTTTATCTTCATCTATGTCCATTTTCATCTTTTTAGGAGTATGATTTATACATCGTTCATCATTTTCCGAATTAATATTCTCGTCGTTATTACTTGCATTACTTTTATTCATATCTTCGCTCTTATTCGTAAAAAATTTACTTTCCGTAATGTCATTTTCATCAATAATTGTTTTTTGAAATTGCTTTAATCGACCAAATTTTGTCTTACTTCTACGTTTAAATAATAAACTAGGAGAAATTTGATTAACAGACGTTTCTTTAATGAATGGATTTCTACTTAGTATTGGAGATTTTTGTTCATTCACATTAGGTGAATTCTCATCTGTAGATTGTATTTGATTTTCAGTTTCAATATTTTCTTCGGATTTGTATGCGTCTAAAATATCTTTTTCATTTAATTCTTGATAGTTTGTAGTATTTACAACTAAAATAAAATAGATATTTATATTAATTTACAATAAATAGTTCATATAAATTAGATACAGTATAAATAATTACCATGATGATATTCTCTTTTTTTTATATTAGTAGATTTTTTTCTCGTATTATCCGGTTCTTTTATACACAAATAATTCTCAAAATTGATTGGTTCTTTTTTGGTTAAAAAGTTTTCTATACTTTGTCTTGGTTTATAATTGGACGACCAGATGCTTATGTGCTTTGGTATCACACTCAGAATATTTGGATTTGGATTATTGAATTTCTTAAATAAATTATTAAACAAATAAATACACTTTAATATTTACAAAAATATATGTAATTATTTATATATTATACCTTTTTTATATCAGGATCAAAGTCATGAAGCATCTCAAATGTAAACGGATCACAATTACCATAAGCAAGTTGCAATGCTGTATCAGGGTCTATTTCATCTCCAGCATGGTGTAATTGTTCTTCAGAAACATCAGGTGTAGGAGGATTTAAACGTACTTGTTTTCTTTGTAAAGGACAAAATACTAATTGATGTTTGAACGTTATAAATGCTTTTATGAAATTGTCTCTATATTCCTTTGATACATCTAAAGATCTCATTTTCAGACAATATCCTAAATTAGTAAGAGCCTGTAGAAATAGCAATATTTATAATTATTACTCCTTTTCTCTCTTTATGTATAATTTTATATTATAATACCATATAGTAACTAACATTGTATATATCACAGTTCGAATTATTAATACTTTGAATGAATTTTTTTGCTTTAATTAATCCTATACCTCGAAGTGAGGCTAAATAATCGCATCCAGATAAAATGCACATATACATAAATTTATCAATATTAAAGTCTGCTAACTGTACGCCCATAGCAAGATGTAGTTTGTCTTGTTCAACAAGCAAACCATTACCATTCTGATCCATTTTAAAAAACACCTATAATTATAATATAATATTAATCATTCCTTTTTCTCGGTTTAAAATCATTATCCTTATCATATAAAAAAATAATAAATGAAATAAAATTGATTATACCTTTTTACAGCCAAACAATATTAAATCGCTATCTTCTGTGATAACAACGTCCGCTATTCCACTAATGTTAAGATATGCTAACTGTGCATCAGCTTCATACGGTGCTACAATGCAATCAATATTAAAGCTTTGACATGTTTTAATTAATTCTAAAGCTATTTTGTGTGTTACATCTATCGATTGTACTAAAAGATTTCTGCCTTCTGCATTTCGTCCGGCTTGTATTAATTGTGCAGCTTGCTGACGTTTTATATCTCTCTTTCTAAAAGCATACAAGATATTTTATATTAAAATTAATAATATCATTGATAACTCCTTGCACTATAACTACGTGTGAGACTAGTGATATATTTTATGGTTCAAACATAAAAAACACAAGTCTTATTTAAATCTTACAGATAAAATACAAGAAGCACGAAATATAGCACTGAATATAACATACAACTCCATGTGTTAAATCATATTGAAAAGAGTTAAACTGATTTTGTTAAAAACTTTACATACTTGTGCCTTTGGGCTTCGATTTCTGCTTTAGCTGGCAAGTGCCGTCCATCGAATACAAGAATAGGTTTAATATTATGTTTCAAAAGCATTCGTATAAATTTCATACAATATATTATATACCTAAAAATTAAAAGTTTAAAGTCAATTGTTCTTGAAGGCAATTAAAATGAACGTAAAGTCAAGACATGACTTAAATAAATTAAAAAATAAATTTTAAAATTAATTATAATACATTAAATAATTGCTTACCCATCTGTTGGTTCCCCTAACAATAATTTATCAGCGCAAGGATATATACCTTTGTGTAACCAACAATAACTATCAATAGCAACAGATTGACCAGCAAATTCATTTATATTTGTTTTTCTAGAAGATTTCTCCAAAAACGATAGTAATCCAGTAATACCCATATTTTATAATATTTTTAAAACAAGGCTACATTTATTCTCTCTTTACAATGTTCTATTAAAAAACACTTAAATAAGTAACTGTAAATATTTCTTTCACTTTCTCTCTCTCTTTCTCTCTCCATGTGACTGTTACGCTAGGGTTGTTATTACCGCCAAATTTTAAGGTAATGTTTAAATGTACAAGTTTATAGGTTATATCGTCCAATCAGAAACGAGGTATTGTAGAACAACAACAGTATTGGAGCATACAATAAGTATTATCTATTAGAGTTCATGTCCCATTTTTTAAACATTAAATTATATATAAAATTGAATTTAGAAAAATAATTACATTATTATTCATTTGAAGTATTGAAATAATTTAAAAAATTAACTTTTATAAGTCAAAGGTTCATTTAATTCCTTCTTAGTTATTTTAGTGATTAATATTAATTCAAAATGAACTATTTAAACACTTTTATTTTTAAATAATTTATTAATATGTATACAACATTGAAATTAATTTAATTTGTGACTATTTTATGGGTTTAAATTAAAATAAAGAAAAGATGTTATTTTTATTACACCTGGTTATACATTAAAATTGCTATGTGTCACTTGTTATATAGTGCGTGTATGTATATGTATGTATATATATTATGCGTAAGCTTAATTTCAAATGAACGTACAAATCTGGCAGTTGGTTTATGGTTCATATTGTCATACTGTTCGAAAAGAATTTTCAATATATTGCGTCGTATAGTAAAATAAATTTTTGTTTTTGTTTATCTTAAATTTGTAAATATAAATAATTTTTGTTTCCACTTTATTTAAATAATAGTAACAACAATAATAATAATATCAATAACAATAATAACAATAATAATAATAATAATAACAATAAATATGATTAAAGTGGTTAGAGAATTTAATGGATCTAATAATTAGAGTTTACGGTAGACTGTTCAAAGTACGCTAATATGACAGTGTATTTATTTGCATGTGTATGTATATTTAGGCGTATATCAATGTCAATTGTATGTCACAATAGTAGGTTATGACCATTTACGACACAAGTATATTGAATGTAGTTAGGAATAACCTAAAGGTTAATAGTTGTGAGGGAATAGACTTCTTTTTTGCTAATATTATTCATAATAGGTGTTAAAAGGAGTTGTTATACATATTTTACTTTAGATGATTATTCATAATAATTTAATGAAATATTAAAAAGTTATGGAATTATAGCAGGTGTGATATAAATAAGGTTAATGTCATTAAATCATTTTTATCTTATCATTATATTAATTGCGAACAAAATAATGTTTAAGTGTAGTTTCATTTTGATTATAAAGTGTATATGCATTTTGTACTTATGGTAAGGACAGTAAAATTTATTGAATAATATTTCTTTATTATTACATTAATAGAAATTATGATTAATTATAGTTTTATTTTGCTTATCAAATGTATGCGTGTCTCACAATCATAATATAGACGGTAAATACCATAAAATAATTTATTCTCTTATCGTTCTATTAAATGCGAAAGAAATTATGGTTAATTATAACTTTATTTTTTATATTAAATATATATTTTCATTTTCGTACTCGAAGTATAGATTTTTAATATGCATTTAATTACACTGACATTAATCCTTAAATAACATAATTATTTTTAATGTAGATATACTGTAAAATCTTTAAAA